TCGTTCCATGACTCCTCTAATAGACTCATTCTGAGATAATATATAGAATGTTATTGCTAGCACTTCTCTTGATATCATTCTGGTCGAGCCATTCAAAATCATGTTGGTGTTGTAGTTCGTAGAGCAGATCGATGAAAATCTCTTTCGTCATACGGAACATGTTTGTGAAACGTGTCGGATGCCCTATTAGAAACTCACCGACCCATTTATCACCAACATATCTCAATGTCGTACATGGAGTTCAGTCGATGTATGTGAGGTAGTAGTCATATAACAAAGTAAGAATAAACATAATCTTTCCAACATAGTGCAATTGTTCTGGATTCATCCTACGAAAATTTGTTCAAAGGGAATAGCTATAACCTTCAACCATATAAAGACATCCATAAAACATATAACCACAAATAACCACAAAAGACCACAAAAGAAATGAGAACTACAATGTTAACTATAGAAGAAAAAAAGTGCTAGAAAAAAAAAAAATAGTGCTAGAAAAAAAAAATAGTGCTAGAAAAAAAAATAACAATCCCCATTACAACAGTACAAATAGTTTTGAGAAAACAAAACGAGAAGCTAGGGTGGAACGTAAGAAGGAAAGTTTCAAAACAAATCAGTTTTTCAAGAAGTAAAACAAGAAATCAAAACAGTTTTCCAAAACAGTACAAACAGTTTCAAAACAATCAGTTTTCCAAGAAGGAACGTTAAAAATCGACTTGGTATTCTGCTTCTAACTTCACAAAAAATTCTCTACGAACTGGATCTTGTAGTAACTTAACACAATTGAGATATAATTTCATGTCCGCCTTAACCTCAGCATGTTTATTTAGAATTCCAAGGCGCCCCTCAATAGATATATCTTGTGATGCAACAAGCTTAACAATGCAAGATTCTGCAAGTTTTTCAATTGTACTCCTGATGAATGCGGCTCCTTTCTTCTTTTTGTCCACCCTAGGCCGTTTTGGAACGGATGAGGATTCCACTGACTTATGGATTTCGCAGGGCACTTCTCCTGAGCCACTTACATTATCAGTTCCAAGAACAGCAGCTGCGCCAATGAAGTTAGGTTCAGATGGGGTGAAAGCATGAGCTCTCGTTGCAACAACCCCACTGAACATACCATCCAGCTTCTCTTCCATTACTGGATCAATTTCATTCATTTTGAATTTCTTAGATGCTGGCACGACCTGCACGACATAGAAAATTGAATTAGTTAAATCAGTTTAATATATCCAAAATTGAAATAAGGAAACGGCATAAGGTAAGACTTTACCTCTAGTTTCTCAGCCCACCAATCCTCATGAGCATCTATAGTTCGTTTCACTAGATCCCAGCCCAAACCTGTAGTTCCCCTTTTAAGTTTTTTACAAATTTTTCAATCTTTCTTTAATTGATCTCACTTGTTCTTAAATTTCATTCTATCATAGTCTCTTCCTGTCAGTTCATTGAATTTGAAAATAAGATTCTGTCAACCTTCTTTGTTAAAAACTATTGTAGGTCTAATTCCTAACTCCTCCTTAAAACAAAAATCACAGAAAATATTTGTTGCTTCCCTGTCCCACATGGCAGATCATCCAACTTCTTTGTTCTTATTCATTGCAGTACTTATTAGTGAAAGGTTAAATAAGGAAAGAATGCATTTAATAACAATTTCACATAAAAAATCCAATAATACTACAACAATTTAACATAAAAAATCCAATAACTTGAGCATAAAAAACCAAAAATCCAATAAAGCCTTAAACATTCAAGAAGACCTTAATATTAGAAAAATATTTGGAAAGAATTTGTGATATGAACTATTTCACAATGAGTTAATACTATCGCTATAAGAAAATATGTTAAGTTTCCTAACTACCATTGTAAGGGTGTCATTGAAGTGTTAGATATATAAACAAAAATGAAAACTTTAAGTATAAAAATTTAGCATATGAATATAAATGGTTATAAAAATTGGCACATACATACAAACACATAAAAAATAAATTTTGAAAAATCTGCATATATATATTTAAATTTAGGTGTCATGCATGTAAGTGCTTAAGGATGACCAAGGAAATAAAGCTCATCAACCTTACAAAGTGCATAAACACAAGGTTTCAAACCAAATCAATGACTCCCAAAGTTCCCAGTGATGTAAAGCACATCGCATGAAAATCTCAAATCAGCAAACTATAAATTTTCGAACAGAAATCATACAGACCAACTATTATTAAGAAATATGAAACACATTTCTCATCAAAAGCATGTCCCAATGCTGCAAAACAAGCTAAATATCGTACCGCATAAATAAATGCCGAAAGAAGTGGGAAACGGCAACAGAACAGAGAAGCAGGTATGGCAATGTCGCGGGATGGAGAACAGTGGCGAACAGTGGCGAACAGTGGCGAGAGGATGTCGCGGGATGGCGAATAGTGGCGAGAGTGGCGATCAGAGGCAATGTCGCGGGATGGCGAACAGTGGCAAGAGTCGCGATCAGGATGGCGAACAGAAGCAGGGATCGCGATAGGGATGGCGAACAGAACTTTGGGATCGCAATCTAGGGCAGAGCGAGGGAGGAGAAGATGAGAAAACGAATAAAGGAGTGAAAAAGATAGAAGATGATAGAGATTTTTTACCTCTCGGCCGATTGGGAAGTGCGGAGGAGGGAGGAGCGGAATCGTTGCTGAGAGGGATAGGCGGGTAAAAGATTAGCGACGATGGCGTTTCGAATGCTGATCGCGGGGTTATACCTGCGATCGCGTATCCCCTAAATTAGAGACGTCGTTTTCTGATAATCACTGCAAACGTGCAAAACAAACTATAAGCTGCCCCAAACGGACTCTAAGGCTCTTGTGGTGTTCATTTTTCTTAGGGTTCTTTATAATCCTTAACCCAATTTTTTTGGCTGAGAGGGAATTACTAATAATTGCATTGTAAATCTTAGCATCAAGGACCTACGGAGAGACCTTCTCTTTGTTGGCACTTAGAAGTATAAATCGCATGGTGCTCTTCCCCTCAAAGATAATCATATGCTTGATGATCACTATAATTCTTACAATACTTCACCCATGAATATTAGCACCATGTGGATGACATCATAGCCAATAAAGTGAAAATCATGGCACTTTCATTCGATGGTAAACTTGAAAAGAATTACTCTAACAAAATGTTGGGCATGAAGGAGTATTTTGAGGGGCCATAAATGCCCAACAATGAATGGGTTCAAATTGTGAAAATGAAGCTCTTTAGGACAAGTACAACACTTATAACCATACCTACCTGTCCAAAAATAGCAGCAACAAGAACATGTCAGTGCAAGATCTTGCCCCTAATTGGCTTCAAAACATGAGTAACATTTCCCAAGGCATTGGCAGAAGTCAAACATTTAGTGCAGCTAATTTGACTATCCAAAATTCTTAGAAATGTCATAAACAACTTTCTACCATAAACCTTAAATCTATGGTACCATCAGTTTTTCTGCCTCAACTTTAGCTACATATTTACCATGAACTACAATCTGAAGAATATTGGAGCATTATACTTATATTAGAGACAAAAGAGACATACTTCAATAAGTGGAGAATCAATCCTTATCTAATAAATCATGGTTTCTGTACTCAAATGTGTTGGTTGAGCAACAGTGACAATGTTTGCCAGCATTAAATTTTTATAACTTGAGGAGGGCTATGTGAAAACAGGTTTCAGTTATAGAAAGAAGAATACAATTTTACGCATCCTCATTACTTTATTTTGGATGTGAATATGAGTTGAATTTGAATTTGAATAAAGAGTTAAGCCACATAACAGAGTTACAATCACCAAGAAATAAAAGAAGTCTCAATTTATCAAAATGTGGTTATAGTCAACTTTGGCCATATAGTGCTTATGTCAGTAGAATGGTGATTAGATAATACCATATACCAGGGGCTAGATCATCGCTATGGCTCAGGATAGTCGAAATCTGGTTGATTTCGCATACAATCAGGGGTTGTTTGATTCTTAACACACATGTTTGTCCTATTATACAATGTTTATTTCTTCTATTGTCCTAGTTTTATGTTAATTCAAAATCACCCTTTACATAAACGAAAATTTTCTTCCCAGTTAATATGAATTCCTTGATTCCCAAATGGGAAACTTGAAGGGACTACAAAGATCTAATAGCCAATTCGATTCTATTCCTTCCCATTCCATAAACTCGTCATTTCTTTTATTCATCTTTCCAATACTCTCTTTGAATTGAACTGAATTGGGAAGTGTGAAACCAATACTGTCCACTATAAACTATGATCAAGGTATAGCACCTACACAAAGAATCATGAATGTTAAAAAAAAAAACAAAAAAAAAACCATCTCTCTAGCAGAGTCTATGCTTAAACTTCAAACACTAGATTATCAGTTTAGAACAGCTTTCAATCTATAGAATTTTGGCGTCTTCCTTTACATTTAAAATAGATTATAAGTACAATAGCAATTTTTTAATCCTTTGCATGAAATAATTAGTGTACAAGATTCATCTAATTAAAAAGATTTTAAATCGTAACTAACGCTTCATTCATATTTTAGTTTAACTTTAATAGAGCTAGTGGATTTCTGGACTTTACAGTGTTTCAATTACTATCTTCCATAAGCAATGTTTCACTAGGGCCTAAGATATATGATATTAAAAAAAATTCAAAATTACACTAATTTTAACTTACCTTGAACAAAAAACCAGCGCACATCAATTGAGGCCTTAAAGCTGAATATGATAAACAGTATGAAGTTGAGAACTAAGCCCAGTTAAATATTGATTATACAATTATCTACTTCACTACTCAAATTATACTCAAAAGATTCATATCATCACTAAGTCCAGATGGAATGATCTCTTTTAAAAAGTAATATATTCACAGATAAGCCATTCCAAGGCATAAGCATGAGACCTGCTGTAAATTCACCAGCTAAACAGGAAACTTGCATCTTAGCAACTTTAGCCATTTACTGCGAAATGCAAATTTAGAGCAAAGCAAGAAACTCACTGGAATAATATGGCTTGTAGCGAATCCTGAATAAATAGCAAGGCCATCTTCCCAGCAAATTCCATGTTGCTGGTTAAACTTGTAACCAAATGCCGCATCTACACCAAAAGCTGCAGTGCAAGAAACCAGTAGTTTCATCAAACCTTTATACCCTCCAAAAAGAAAAGGTACTGAATAGAAGGTTCCGGAGATGCTCAGTAATTTGAAAGTATGCTAAAAAAATGAATAATGCAATTTCATAAATGTCTTGTACCAATAGATGGCACCCCATAAGTTTCAAAAAGAAGCTCAGCCATTTTACTCCTTGAAGAAATTGGATTGCAAATGCACTCTGTCATAAGCACGGGATGATCCACCTGTTCTGCCCTCAAGTTCAACATAACCATAAAAATGTTAAGTATGAAAAAATAAACAGTAACTCACAATTTAAAAGGATTGCTTCCCTTGGGAAAGATGCATGGAAGTAAGAACAGCTGTAACAGCAAATTTCGAAGTATTAGCTCCAGTAAGCATTGCTTAGAAAATAAAAGATCATTGATATGGTGCTTAATATAAGACAATGATTAAGACATATTCCACACGCAACAAATCACATGCACTCAAACAACCCAGCCTTTCTCCAAATAGAATCCAATCTAAAAATGGTATATGAAACACATCTATTGCTTTTTAGTCTCAAACAAAAGTGTTCTGCATCATTCTCTTCCAGCTAAAATGAACTTGATGAGCTTTTGGACATCACTCTTACATGCAACGTTAGTGTGGAATCTATTCATTTACTATCATGGATAAAACTTGATCTTAATTTTCTAAGATTAATTGCTAACAACTTAAGATTCATTCTATTAATTTTCCAAAATCGAAGCAATATAACTCAACTTAAAATTTTCAAGATGGTGACTAACCTATCTCAAAATTAATTCATGTACGCCTAATTTTCTTCCCAGTTATTATAATATGCACTCCCTTTCCTAACATGCAAAAATTTCTCCTTGTTAATGTCATCTTTATAATTAAGAAGGAGGACCGCCCCATACATGGGGTTTTCCAGCCATTGGAATAAGAGCAAGTCCTTTTCATCTCCTTCGAGGATGACAAAGCTTTCTAGTCCTCGTGGAATAGAAATATCATGTTTCCATGGTCTTCTTACAAGAAAACGGAATACACATATATCCCCCGTCACACTGCACAACTTTATTGCTAGTGTCTACCAACGCACCATATAAAAAGTATAGCTTCATTACTTCTCCTGTACCCTAACAAGTGAATGGATAGAGCAAAAGCATCTTGGAAGTTAGAGTTTATTAATAACATACAAGGAAATTAAATTCTCCATGCTAGCGACAAATAACAACATCACATATCAATGGAAGTCTGTCGGCCGTTTTATTGTTCAACTTCACTTTCGTAGTTTGGAAACGGTGATGATTTTGTGATTTTGAAAATAATTTAAATATAAATATAACTTTTTTAAAGTAGTAATGTTTTTAATTTTTAAAATAAGTGAGACCAAACGAGTCTCACATTTTTAAATAGTTTAGATGATTTAATACAATACTACAAGCAATACACTTATCCCGAAAAATAAATATATTACTTGTAATAGGGATTTAATCATCTAGACTAAACAATTTGTGACATTCGTTTTGATCTGCGAAATATTTTTATAAAAAGGCCAACAAGTTCCCCTATCTAACATAAAAATTAGATAGGGTTTATTTTATCTGGGTTCCTGGTTCCCTATAGAGGC